GGAACCGGCGAGGGAGGTAACGCCAGATACGAGACTCCCAGAGAGCGGGAGCCACGGTCCCGGAGGGTAGACACCCGGGGGAGTCGGTGGCCTTAAGCCACCCGACAGACTTTGAGCCAGGACAGCCCGTCTATCGGGGCTTAGGCACCCGGGTCAGATCCCGGGCCAGGCGTGATAGAAGGGCTTGACTTTCTGTTTTGTTGTTTGCTTTCCTTTAGGCTCTCTCATTTTGTGTTGCGGTGGCCTCGGGTCAGTGTAGGCTAGGGGCAGCAGGGAATCAGGGGGTGAGACCCTCAAGGTGGATTCCAGTCTGGGAAGCTTGGGTCTCTGGAGTGGGGACCACCAGGAGGCACAGGAACGAAAACATGGCGGGATCGCCAAAGGAAGACCACAGGGAGACCCGCAGCAGCAGGTGGCGATTGGCCGGGGGGTAGCCTCCCAACACCACCCGAGGTACCTTCCGGAGCCCTCTTGTAGGCTCGGGGCAAGCTAGAACAGCCACCCGAGCGAAGGCAGCTCGAGAGCACCTAGTCGAGCAGAGGCGGGCACACTCTTCAATAACTGAAATAACTTTGCAGCACAGGGAGGGGGGTGGGGGGAAGGGGACAGTAAGGGAGGGAGAAGGAGGGAATAGTAGAGAAAATTTATTTTAAAATAAGTGGATCCATATTCTACACTTCTTTGCATCATGTTTGCGTGTATTAAAGTATTTTTAAGAGGTGCACTTGCATATACATAAAAAGCTTGGTGATGCACTCATTTCATAGTTTTGTTGTTTCATAGATGGTAGGGGCTGGAAGGGACCTTATAGATCATCAGGTCCAGCCCCCCTGCACTTGGGCAGGAAAGACTGCTGGGATCAACTGACCCCAGAAAGATGGGCATCAAGTTGTTTTTTTAAGATTGCCAGGGTGGATGACTGTACCACTTCTGATATATGTTCTCTATCACCAACATTTCTTTATCTTCAATTAAATCATTTCAACACATAAAACTGCATAGACCCATGGGGGCATCTGGTCCAGCCCCCCTCCATGAGCACAGGAATACTGTTCTTAAACTACCCCTGACCAACTGTATCCATCCTCCTCTTGAAAACCTGTAGTGAAGGGGTTTCTACAGCATCCTAAGCAGCCTGTTCCCCTGCCACATTGCTCTGACAGTAAGAACAGCTCCCCTGAGATCCAATTTAAATCTGGTTTGCTACAACTTCATGCCTTTGCCATATTTATCAAGATAGGTATTTGCACTTGTGCATACTTTTAAATGTATGTGCATTCCATCCAGGAAGAGCACACACCAACTGCTGAAGCTTCCTTAGCCTTACAAAGGGTTTTTGAACCCGAAAGCTTGCTTAATAACTATTCTCCAGCCATTTGGGTTGGTCTAATAAAAGATATCAAATTCACCCAAGGAACCTTGTCTACTTTTAAATGTAGCATTTAACATTCAATAGCGAAGGACTTACTGTGCAGCCAAGGAAACAGTAGTGACTGCCACATAACCCAGAGGGCAAAGCCATTTGTGTAGTGGGCAACTGCATGTAACATAATGATTTATCTAATTAGATGTTTCTTTCTAAATGATTAATTTTAACTTGAGCCTACTTAGAACCTAGGTAAAAGCACTTGGGCTTACTCCTGAGCTGTGCTACACTGCAGCTAGCACAGATCAGTACATGGGGACACAACATTGCTAGACAGATGCTTGGATGAGATGGTGTAGGCAGGGATGAGCCTGTCTTGAGGTGGGGGGGGGGGGGGTGTGGTGGGGGGGGGGGGGGGGGTTGGACAAAATGCGACTTCAAGGGCATAGAGATTGAGATGACAGAATAGATCAGTTGAGTAAGATGACAATATTATGCAGCTACTTCCCAGGATAAAATCATACTTCAGGGTTAGTAGGATTGTAAGACTAAAAAACAATGTGTTTTTGTTTTGTTTTGTTTTGTTTTGTTTTGTTTTTCTGATAGAAAAAACAAGCACAAGACAACCTCTGTAAATGCACCTTTAAAGTACACAATTTGTTTAAATCATCATGACATTAGAAGAAAGCTAGGCTAGCTTAGAGACAGTGGCCCAAATCCAACTCCCTCTTTAGACAGGTAAGTAGTACTCACATGACCTCATCCAACTCTCCCCATGCAACTCAACTTGTCCTTCTGAGTGTGCAGAATATGCTGTTGCTGCTAAGGCTCTGTTGAGATCCTAATCTGCCCAGGAAAGCCCATAATCTTGTGTCCACAAAAACACTAGTCACAGAAAAAACACAACTAAAATTGTTTGTGGCAAAAGAAGGGGCCTCCCACATTTTGTCCTAATAGCCCCGTAGTAAAGGCACTTGCCCAAAAAGTGGAAGGCTTAGATTCCAGCCCCTCGTCAACCTGAACTGTCTTCCACTTCTCTGCAAGGTGCCCTAACTATGAGGTAAGGGGGAGAGAGGTCTAAGAGTACTCTCTGCCCTTCCTGGTGAAATTCACTGGAAAGCCAAGACAGGAAGATGTGTCGGGTAAGCAGGCCAGGGAAGCTGGCTCTACAGCTCAATGAGTTGGGCACTATCATGAAAGGGAGAATGCTCTGGGTTTTAATTCCTGCACCAGTCCCCGTTGGTATCTATGTATTTTATCTAATATCTTTGTCGTGTCAAAGGGAAAAAACATGGTTGCCAGTTATGAAATTATCTTCACGCACATTAAGTGCCCCATAGCTGTCTACAAAGTGGCTTGATTTAGGCCACTATATATGTGGCAAAGCCTCACACACACACCGATGATGAGGACCCCTAAAGCAGATGGCAGATTTTGTAAACAGCCAACAAATGCCAAAAAATCCATGCTTGATGCAATTCCTATAGTAAACCTTCCAGATATCTGACCCTACCAAGGATCTAATAGGGCCCTAGAATAATTTAGAACAACTTGAACTATGTGGCTTAGAACAAACTACTAAGGTATACTCTGCTGGCCAAGGGAAATACTGTGTTCTTGGACCTGACCTCTTCTCCTGCCTGTTACAGCATCATCTCCAGGGCTCCCGGACCCCCTTACTTGGCCCCCAGGGAACTCCTTCTCCCCACAGTCCTTCCCCAAACCTCCAGACTGCTGTAGGCTGTTCTCTCTGTGCTGGCACTCAGGAGCTACAGCCATCCTACTTGGGAGATGTTCACTCAGGAGCCTCTAGGATCTTGCTGCTGACTCAGCTCAGGGCCTGGGTTTCTTTCCAGTCTAAGCCCAGCCCTCCTCCTGGGTCAGATGACTCTACAATCAGCCCTGGCCATGCCTGCAGGATGCTTTCCAGGCATGGTCCCTAATTGACTTGCTGCTGCACCTGCAGCCTGCCTCCTTTTATGGTAGCAGGAGCTCCAAGTCTCCTGCTGTATCACTGCCCTAGCCATGTTTTTGACCAATCTAGAAATGTACGATGCTAAGAGGAACTCCCAACATATCTCTTAAAGGAAGCTCTCTGTTCTCTTTGTGCCACAGATTTCTTTGAAT